ACATCTTTTTTGAATTGTGGTGCCCAGAACTGGACACAGTATTCCAGAAGGGAGACATGGTGCTGAACTTTGCTTATTTGTTTGCTTACTTTATATCCTGCTTTTCTTGCAGTATGGGACCCAAAACCTGGCATCTCCAAAAAGCAACCAGGATGTGAAATTCGGTGAGAACTCCAAGTGTGTCCTGGTGTCCTTTAAAAAATAAAATAATTTGTAATATCTCTATAATTTTTAAGTAAACTGCTCTCCAATATGTTTTTGCAAATGTACACCTCCACCACATATGGTGGAAATTCCCTTCATTTTTTTGACATTTCCAACAATTTGTACATCCCGTCTTATATATCCGGTTAAGTTTAGTTGGGTACAAATACCATCGATGCATCACCTTCAAAAAAAATTCTTTTAGATCCTGGCATAAAGTAAATTTATTATAAATTTATTTTATTATACAATAAAAGTTTGGGTCATTCTCTCAGGCCTCTCCATAGACTCAAATTTCTTTTTGTTTCAATGTCAAGGCACCTGTTTCAGGGACTGGTTTTGATTTGGACAGTTGCTCTGGAGTAGTAGGTATTTAACCTTTGTCTACCCTTTTCCCTAACAAATTCACATATACCTGCTGCTACCTGCTTTTAGTCCTGCCAGGGTAGAGGCAGAATACACTAACATTTCTCTTTTTCCTTCACCAACATTATTTGGAACAGAAATGGGAATTGTACAACCTTTCATATGACATTGAATTGCAACTCCCAGGAATCCAGGGAACCGACATAGCAAATGGTGAGGAATGATGGGAGTTGCAGTCCAAGAACATCTAGAGTGATGTACAGTTTCCACCACCACCCATTTAGAGAAGGAGCAGGGAAAAGGTGAAACAACATTTCCCCTAGAACATCGGCTGCTTATGAATTTTTATGGCCTTCTCCCAGTGAAGGTGAGGAGATCAATGTCATATTAGTAATCCCATGTCAAATCTATTTTGGTCTTCAGTTAGGCTGTGGTCATACTGTCCTTATATTTGCTCTCTGTGAAAACAGTAGTGCGGAAGGGGAACCATAGTAATAGACGTGGGTGAACTTCTCTAGTGTACTCTTGTCCTGTTTCTCTTCATTTATTGGGAACTACTTGCTAGGAAGAATTTTTGCAGTTGAGGTGAAACATGAGTTTACTGGGCAGTTGTTCCCTAAAAAGATAAAATTATCTCATCATATATCAGGCCTGGTACAAGACCCCCATGTTGGTTGAAATGGGAGAACCCACCTCCTCCACCAGCCAGCTTTTCTCCACTCCCACAGCATTAGCAGTGGCAGTATTGGCAATCTTGCCTACTCTTTCCTCAAAACAATGAATTGTGGAACCCAACTGACCAGTCTCTGTGACTGTACTTTAAACGGTGTTGTGTTTTTTTTAATCCTACCTTTCCATTGAAAAATAGTGCTTAGGGCAACTGTTAAAACAAATCACAAGCAAATTATGACATGACTCCATGAAAGTCATAATAAAACAATATTAAAAATCATAATAATCAATAAACATTATTTTGCACACTTGTGGAAAAGCAGTAGTGGCACAGATGATCTCCAGATGACCTCGCCCACAATGTTGAAGGGCCCCTCAGTTGGAGGTATGGAGCAGGTGTTCAGTGTGGTTAATGGCTTTCCCATCTGTAGGTAATAGGAAGCACTCATTATAGTTGTGGTTTTGTGAGAATATTTATCAAGAACCTAAGTCCAGTAGCTTGTCCCAGCTATATTACTTAGATAAACTTCTCTCTTTTTTTTTCTGCTCTAAAATGGAAGAGTATTCCTTCATCTTTTTCATGGCCAACCACTTTTGAGGAAGAACTGCTTTAGAGGGGTCATTTCTATGAAGAAATCTTGATGAGGGAGGAAAGAATCTATTACTCAGAAAGAAACTCTTCTAGAACATGGCCACACAGCCCAAAAAACCCACAAAAAACAATCTATTACTCTATTGTTGTTGTTTTGTTGTTGATAGCTGCCTTCGAGTTAATCTCGACTCATAGCAATGCTGTGGATGAGACATCTCCATGCTCCTCTATCCTCTATCTTTCTGCTCCAGTCCTGTAGGCTCAGGCCCATGGTCTCCCTGATCTGTCCGTCTGGCATACAGTCTTCCTCATTTTTTACTGCCCTCTACCTTCTACATTGTCTTTTCTAATGAATCAGTTGTACCTTCTCATGATGTTACTAAAGTGCAACAACCTCAGTTTTGTCATCTTAGCTTCCAGTGAGTGTTCATGCTTGATTTGTTCTAGGACCCAATTGCTTATCTTTTTGACCATCCACAGTATCCTTAGCACTCTTCTCCAACACCACATCTCAAATTAATTAATTTTCTTCCCATCTGTTTTCTTCACTGTCCAGCTTTCACATCCATACATGGTAATGGGGAATACAATAGTTTGAATGATTCAAGCAGTATAGTTTTACACTTTGGGATTTTGTCTAGTTCTTCCATAGCTGCTCTTCCCATTCCTAATCTTCTGATTTCTTGACCACAGTCTCCGCTCTGATCACTGTTTGATCCAAGGTATGGGAAATCTTTCATTATTTTCATTTCCTCATTATCAGTGTTGAAAAAATATTACTGTATTACGACACCTTTAATAGGGCACACTCATACACACAGATGAGTTTTACTGACATGCGGACACCAGTAGCCAGTGGCAGTCTGTTAATAAGGCTGTGAACAGTTTAGAGTTGGCTTGTGTTAAAGATTTGAAGCACACTGTTCATTGTGAGCTTTAAAAAAAGAGAGGGGAAAGTAGAGAGAGAATGTGTGTGTGTGAGTGTGTATTGGAGGGTTATATGTTAAAAGTTAGTTGAGATTGTGTTGCCATTTTCATGTTCTTCAGTTAAATGGCTTGGGTCCAAACTATCTCAGGGACTGACTTCTCCTCTATAATCCTCCCCGCGCACTCCGGTCCTCTGGGAGGAATTTGCTGAAGCTACAAAGAGCCAGGCTTGCGGCTATCTCCCAGAGGGCTTTTTCGGTGGTCGCCCCCAGACTATGGAATGGCCTGCCAGATGAGATCCGTCAATTGACATCTTCAGACAGCTTTAAAAAGGCTGTCAAGATGGATCTCTTCTGGCAGGCCTGTCAGTGATAGATAATCCCGGCCTCA